AGTGGACGTTTGACGCTGGTGTAGAGACATCACTGACAAAGCTGACAAAATTTACATGCAGTTAGGTTCTTAATAACTTTTACAACATTCACTTTCACTAAATGACATTTCATATGTAGGTCCAGGTTGGGGTAGTCAGGCAATTAGTGACAGGGTGGTACAAATGAGACCAAATTAAATTGTTTAACACCTAAAATGCCGTATCAAACTAACACCAGACGAAGAAACGTGCGGCAGCTCAGGATATAAATCGTTCAAAGGCCCATTTTTCTCCGCATCAAAAATGAGATCAATAGTTAGAAGAAAACCTCGAAAGAGTTCCAGACTATTTCTGTTTCTATCTATGTATATGAACAAACTTTAGGTAAACTGCAGTTATTCTTTGAAATAGGGCATCAGTACATTTTTCTTCAAGGAAATAACCAAGGAACTCTTAAGAGCTTCAATGCTTCATAATCTTCAGGTTTAATATTTCAAATTGCCCCCATCCGTCCTGTTATACCTCTACTCTGCTTTACGTTCCCTCCCCTACCNCCCCTCCCCCGCCGCGTTTCTTGATGGGAGTACCAATAACTACTTGAACATAACTGTGCCTCATTGAAAAGAACTCGTTACAATAACCCACTGTCGTATCACCCAAACTTCCACCTTGCTTTTCCAGATTTACCAACACCTCTCTCACGGGGGTTGAGAATGATACTTTGTCATTTTCATCCAGTCAATATTTGAATGGGTGTTTTTAAATGATTGTTTATAGCACGCTTGAAGGATTTCATCGTCCGACAACAACTCCCACAATTCACTTCGTTTTCTTTTGTTATTTAAATTTTTAACCACGGTGGGGTTTAGAAAATAATTGTTCTAGTAGCAAGAAGAAAAGAGAAAGTAAAGGAAGATTCTGGTGGCTGTGGTTAAATGACATCATAATGCAAAGAGTCTATTCCGTTGAAGTTTCCAATTCTTATTCCATAACAATTTTGATTTGGCAAAAGTATCATGCGGGCATAATTTAGGCGAAACCTCCGAAACGCTTCACCTAACCTGCGTTATGTGACTCAGATAATGCCGTTTGGTAATGAGTTTGAATTTTTTCCTTGATATTAACTGACAAAATATGATACAATCAGTTAACGAACAACTACAGTAGCTAAGTTCAAAAGTTATTCCAATCCCCCGGGGGGGGGGGGTACTCCCGTAGATGAGCTATATAGGTATGTGAGGCCCCAAAGGGTATCGTTTTTCAGCCGTTTTGGTCATAAATAGGGTATGTTTTTGCACTCTAGCCTTGATATGGGTATGTTTTAAAGAAGAAGCCACTTTTTATCATTATCGAAAAGAAAATTAACTAAAGCCCTTCACAGATTATGTTTACGGTAAGTTAAGATAGGTCTGAACTAGGGACCTTGTTATAACAAGGGTCTGAAACAGGGTTTTGATCTAATGGCCAGGCCATAGACAGGGTATCGAATATTTGGCCAGGTCATAAGTAGGGTAGGGAATGTCACAGATTTTGGTCTTAAATAGGGTAAGGGTTTTGGGAAGCGGGCCGCACACCCCCACCCAACTTTTCTGGGAGTAGCCCGCCTGGTTCCAATCTTATTGATCTCAAATGTGATCATTCTCAAGAGAGACCCCAGTTCACAACATAGCCTCATTTGATAAGTTAATAAAGATGGTGAATTTTAAGCTCGGTAATGAAATGTGAAGGTGAATTAATTAACATGACACGAGCATGGGACAAAGAAAAATTCTGAGTCCCCGACAGGAATCGAACCGCGCGAATTTACTCAGTTTGCACGTTGAAATGAAACTGAAAGCCTTGCCACATTCGTATTCAGATGATACATTTTGTGTTTCTGCCCAAATCAGCGCCACGTGGTCTCTACTTCTTCCGTCCTCTTCCACAGCCGGTAGCTGAGCGGGTGTAAAATCTCCAAAATAGAAATCTAAACTGCCGAAGGAGCAATAAATTCAACAGTGACTCACCCTTCGTTCTTCATTTCACCGTGAAGTCAATTGTACTAACAATAACAATAAAGTGATGATAGCTTTAGGGGCTCATGGTAGCCTGACATGTCAAAGCGACTCCAGCGACTAAGTATTTGTTCACACTGACATCACAGTCGATACGGATGAAGCGTTTAGCCTGATTAATGACTAAACTGAGCCATTTGCCATAATGATCATTGATTGAAGCTACACTTCAATGATGGCATGACTGCATTAATCAGTTATGTTTCCACCTCTTCAGTCAAAAATCAGGGCAATATTGGAACAAAATGAAAGCACTTATTATTTACGGGGAAAGTTTTAGACGGATTGACTGTAAAGCAGCTGACAACAGATGATTCTTGAAAATGAAGTTTGATTCTCGAATGGTTGAATGGGAACTCAAATATGGAGATAGCGTAGTTCCAAATAGTCGACTCAACCATCAAAAGAAACTTATTAACGAGTAAAATAGAGTAAATCTGTTGGAATCTTGGATATAGATTCAGCTTGCCATGACAATCTCAAATAACTAAAAGTTCCTTTGATAACACACAGGATAACTCACAGATACATGCTGGGGGTCATCCTGGGAAATTTGAGAACGCAAAACAAATCAATTTAATTAATTGGTGTCAAGAAGGTAATGTTTAGCAAAGCTGCACCCAGGCGTCGGCTCGTTTCAACCTCGCTCTCTCCCACCAGCCCGTTGAGGGGCGTTTTTTTCCCTGGTAGGTTCTTCTCCTCAGTTTGTTCTGTACGCGTGGCTGATGTTCGCCGGGTTTTTAAACATTAAAATGCATTTGAAACAATGTTACCAAGCAAGCACTGGGTTGATAAAATAAGCTACTTTCGATATATTAAAAACCATTCATCTTGATAGAGAGGTATAAAGGCACAAACAAGAGAAATGAATAAACATGTCATTCAATTCCCTTCGTTTGTGTCCTCTGGGCCTCGCTCTCAAGCTGAATTTTAATATATCGAAAACAGTCCTTTGCATATTCCTCAAGGCGGAAGCACTGCATTGTGATATATGTATTTCATCGTAATGGTCGCTATTATCTCTGTAGGAGAGTGGTTTCAAAGTGGCCACTAAGACCGTTAAGATATAGCTGAGGTCTATATGAGTGATCTTTGTCCTAACGGTCGATAGATCCCTCTCATCCTTGAAGACTCGTCAGTAGCGATCGTTGAACTTTTCTTTTTGCAGCGATCTTGGTGAATTTTTACAAACCAGCCTTCCGATCGATTCTTTGGTGGGCAAACAAACGCATCAATCAATAATATCACCTTTTCAATCTCAAGCTTTGAATATATATATTCTCCTTAACAATATAATGATTACCATACATTCATTTTCATATTTTTATAGTTCTGAGAACATAGTGGTAGATCAGCACAGAAATGTAGCATTTACACTTCTGACTTACACCTCATTGTCGGCAGCTTTATCTCACAAGTATCCCCAACTTTAATTTCGAGTCGCACACGCCAGTGCCGTGTTTACAATACACGAAGTCTCATCTTAGGTCTACTGGCCAAGGTCGCACGGTGGTAAAATCCTACACAAAAATACACTGTTGGAACAGAATATTAGGAAATTTGAAAGAAAGCAACATTTCTCTGTACGTAATTCTTCATCTTCTGCTAAAGAAAACTATTCATGAGAGTTGGCATACTTCTCACATACCAATAATTCTATCTCAATTTACACTTAGTAACATTTCTCCATTTGTGAAGGTGAATTAATCAACATGACACGAGCGTGGGACAAAGAAAAATTCTGAGTATGCAGGACACCTATCATATATGAACTCAGTTAAATGACCTTGCTCTCCACGAGTTCTCGTAGCTCAGTGGATAGAGCGCCCGCCCGGTGTTCGGGNTCGTGTCATGTTCATTAATTCACCTTCACATTTCATTACCGAGCTTAAAATTCACCATCTTTATTAACTTATCATTTCTCCATTTGTACCTGTCCAGCAAGTTCTGTGGGAAATGCACTCAAACTGAATAGAATCACAGGTATTTTGAGTCACTATCATTCAGGTTGATTGCAAGACGAGAGAACAACAAAATACATAGCGAAACTTTCCAAATTCATGATTTTAAAACATGTGAGCGAGCCGACATTCTGATTTGTAATGGCATGACAAGGGTGTATACCTGTTGTATACAAGCCCTCCTGACTACATACACAAAAATTGTAACACTTACTGCATACAATAAAAACCTAGAGCTCTATGAAAAATATATCAAACTGAGAAACAGAACTGTTTCCTTTCCCTCTAGCAAAAAAAGCATGTTTTACATTAGAAAAATTATGATCCATTGCTTGACGCACATGAATAAAAAGAGAGAATTAAAAGAAAACTGAACAAACGTCTGCTGTTAACGTTAAACGTATGTTTGTTTTAAAACCCCACACATGATGAAATCTGGTAAAAAGCTATGGAAAATATCTAGCTTGAAAATACATCGAAACGTCACACTTTACCTAAAAAATGTAAAGTAACTATAAGAACCAACTGCGAAGAAATCTAATACCGTAAAAAGTGTCCAAACTGCCACTCATGTTGCTCTTATTGACCTTTTCCAAAATCTATGGTGACGTCATCACCGATGAGTACAAACGGAGGCCAGTGCTTCACGGCACCAAACCTTTCCGACTCCCTAAGACATTTCATAGCCCTGTTAAGAGCTACACTGGCTTTACATCCACCATCTAGTTGTTTGTAATGTTTCATAAACTCCATGGTGGCCTCGTCATCAATTGCCCAGAGTGAAACCAGAACAGAACGAGCACCAGCGCCCATGAAAGCTCTTCCAATACCGACCACACCATCAGCTGTAACTTTGCCTTGAGCACTGTGAAAGCAACTAAGCACAACAAGGCTTGCTCGTAACTGGACAGCTTTAACATCTGACATTGTAAGCAGGTAGTCTTTGTCTTTAGGGATCTTGGATGTTCTTGCGGGATTTGGAGCTAAAGCAATCTCACCAGCTTTCATATCACCATGTGCTGCAATGTGTACCAAGGTAACTGAACCGATTCGTTTAAGCACCTCATCTTTAGTCGCATCTCTCCCTGTGAGAGGCTCCGTGTTGAGAATCTCGCCGATCATTTTTACTTCTTCCCTTGCTCCTGGCAAGCAGGATAATCTAACACGCTTACCCCGCCTTCTCTTAACTTCCTCTACACATGGATCTCCCACAAGCAGCGCCCCAACCTTACTGTGGTAGTCCTCTGGACACTCTGTGATCAGCTTTAAGCTTGTAAGCGAGGGAAGAATGCGGATGCTAGTAGATTCACTGAGGTATCTTGAAGTCTCGTCCACACATGCAGCATAAGGGACCAAGCATAGGGGACCATCCAGAACGATGATTAATTCATCGCCATCAAGCATGTTCGCAATTGTGCCAATTGTAGAATCAAACAAGACGCGCAACGAACTGTCCTTGTAGTCCACTATTCCCTGAAAAGACTCCTTATTTAGCTGTAATTCGGCTGACTCACACAATGAACGATTCTCGCAGTTAATGCGAACTCGTCGGCCAATTTCTTTGCAGGCATCTTCTATAAGCAAGGTGGCATCTTCAATGCTCTTTTCTTCAAAATGAACGTCTTTACCCTTTAGTAGCCATAAATGAACAGTGTCACTTGCCATAGCCATGAAAACTGTTTGTGTACATACATCATTTAAATGTCTGAGATTGATACTTTAGGTTAAAATGCCTCAGAAGTTGAATACTGTAATTTTATAAGATCTGTGAAGGCTTGTGCTCGTCCTCGCTCAGCAACAAGCAAAGCCTCATCAGTCTTTTGAAGCCTTACGAGTGTTCTCCAAAGTGCCGCGTAGGCATCTTGACACGCATTACGAAAGGATATTTTCCACACATCTTCAGACTGAAGAAGAGCTCTCACTTCATCGTAAAGTTTTACACTGGATCGATAGTAATTAAGAGCTTCGAGCAAAGCACCCGAGAGTTCAAAGTCATATCCTAGGGAATAACATGCACTTCCTTCTTCATCTCTCTGCCCCAGTTCTTTGGCAATGCTAAGATGCTTGTCGTGGTATTCAATGGCTCGTTGAAAATCACCCAGACCCTGGTAAGCGTTGCCAAGATTTGCATAAGCATGTCCTTCTCCATCTCTCTGTCCCAGTTCTTTAGCAATGTTAAGACCTTGGTTGTGGTACTCAATAGCTCTTGCAAAATCACCCAGACGTTGGTAAGCATTACCAAGGTTATCATAAGTACGTCCTTCTGCATCTCTCTGCCCCAGTTCTTTCGCAATGCTAAGATGTTGGTTTTGGTATTTAATGGATTCTTGAAAATCACCCAGTCTCTTGTATACAACACCAAGATTGCCAAAAGCACGTCCTTCTCCAGCCCTGTCCCCTAGTTCTTTGGCAATGCTAAGATGTTGGTTGTGGTACTCAATAGCTTGTTTAAAATCACCCAGCTTCCGGTAAGCAATGCCGAGATTGCAATATACCGTACCCTCTGCAACTCTGTCCCCCAGTTCCTTGGCAATGCTTAGGTGTCGGTGCTGGTACTCAATGGCTTGTCTAAAATCACCCATACTCTGGTAAGCGTTGCCAATATTACCATAAGCAGCTCCTTTTCCAAACGTCTGCCCCAGTTCTTTCGCAATGGTAAGATGTTGGTTGTGGTATTCAATGGCCTGTTTAAAATCACCTAGACCCTGGTGGGCATTACCAATATTACAATAAGCACGTCCTTCTGTATCACTCCGTCCCAGTTCTTTGGTAATGTTAAGATCCTGACTGTGGTACTCAATGGCTTGTTTAAAATCTGCTAGACCCTGGTAAGCATTACCAAGATTAGCATAAGCAGCTCTCTCTCGAGGCCTGTCTTCTACTTCTTTGCAAATGTTAAGATCTGTCTCGTGATAATCAATGGCTTGTCTAAAATCACCCAGACTTTGATAAACAATACCACGATTGCCATAAGCAACGCCTTCTCCAGTCGTGTCCCCCAGTTCTGTAGCAAGGCTAAGATGTTGCTTATGAGACTGCATGGCTCGTTGAAAATCACCCAGACGATGGTATGCATTGCCTAAATTGCAGTAGGCAGCTCCCTCCTCAGCCCTGTCTCCTAGGTCTTTGGCAATGCTAAGATGTTGATTGTGGTACTTAGTGGCTCGTTTGAAATCACTCAGCTTCTGGTAGGCACTGCCAAGATTGCCATAAGCAGCTCCCTCTTCAGCCAAATCCCCCAGTTCCATTGCAACACTAAGATGATGGTTGTGGTACTCAATGGCTTGTTTAAAATCACCCAGACTCTCGTAAGCATTGCCAAGATTGCGATAAGCAGCCAGTTTTCCATGTCTTTGTCCCAGTTCTTTGGCAATGCCAAGATGTAGGCTGTGGTAGTCAATGGCTTGTTTAAGATCACCCAGATTCTTGTAATCATAGCCGAGATTACCATATGCTGCTCCCTCTCCAGTCCTGTCTCCCAGCTCTTTGGCAATCCTAAGATGTTGGTTGTGGTACTCAATGGCTTGTTTAGTATCACCCAGACTCTTGTAAGCATTGCCAAGATTGCAATAAACAGCTCCTTCTTCAGCCCTATCCCCCAGTTCTTTAGCAATTCTAAGCTGTTGCTTGTTTTCTCCTATCGTTTTTATCATATCAGCGAGTTTTCCTGCCTTCTCTAACGTACACACCTGGTAAATGTGAATTATGAGAAAAATTGTAAGGCTTATTGAAATAGTTTTATGTTACTATCTTACATTTTCCCCATCTTGCTGGGTATTTCGAGTTGTCTGTACTATTCTAAATAGTAATAGGGTTAACAATAGTTAGTAGAATAAGTGGTGGTTGGACTGGGTCTATGGTAAGAATGGTTTTCAAAGCTCCATTCACATTCTCTAGTTTGCCACTCTCGCGTGAGATATGCTGTACACAAGTACCGATCATCAAGACTTAGAGACTAAAATGTGCACAACTTTTGTAAGAAAACGCTATAAAACGAGGAGTGGTTTATGAAATTACCAGCCGATCAAAAACGTCTGCATACGAGCCAAGTAGCCCACAAGGCCTGAGCTTAGCGCGGTTTCTGTAACAAGAAGCGACTAGGAGGATTTCTGTTCCCCCCTGGATGGGATGCTAGTCCATCGCAGGGTTACCCCCGGTACCCATTTACACACCTGGATGAAGAGAGGCACTGTGAGAGTAAAGTGTCTTGCCCAAGAACACAAAGTGACCCTGGCTAGGGCTCGAACCCGAACCACTAGATCCGAAGACAAGCGCACCGCGCCTCCCACAGCCGATCAACAAGGTGGATAACAATTGTTAAATTTTCTATGCATATGCACTGTTCAAAGCTTCACCTTTCAGTGGCAGCTGTATTTACTTTTGGCTTGAAGGAGTAGGATTTCGTAAACTTGAAGCCTGCGTAACATGAGCTCCCGGTCGCGTGTCCCTCGCTCGCCCAACTTTTGTAATTTAGGTTATTCTACAGTACAAAAAGAATTTTTCGTTTCTTAGTCGACGGTGACATCTTTTAAGGACTTCTTAGTGGGTAAAAGTAGTGGGTCAAAGCACATTCAAGAGACAGAGAAATTAAAGGCAATAAAGGACTCATTTCCTTGGAACCGTCATTCCAAAAGCTCCAAAAATATTACCAAATATCTTGAACAAGGTCATGGGAAGGGAACAGTTGGACTCGGCAACACAGACAACAAAGCCTTGATATAAGTCCTATGGTGATTATTCATAACCCTAATTGAATAATCAAATATCCTTCTTTCTTTGAGTTTCCCACGGTCATTCAATCACAGTGGATTTTGCCGAGTTAATTTTCACTTCTCTCATACAAATTTCTGCTTTAGATTCTAAATCAAGGCATTACGTTACACTCGCCAGGCCGAGAGTTGTCCCGGTTAGGCGAGCCAAAGTGTTTATATGGAGAAAAGTTGTCCTGCTTGCCAAGGTTACCCTACCTGCCGCCTGCCGAGGCGAGACAACTCGCCCACCCGAGTTGTCTCGCCCCCGGGACCGGTTCGTGATCCTCATGTAAATGGTTGGTTGAATTTTGCAGAGAAATAAGTGAAAAGTTACCTCGGCCAGGGTTACTCGGAGGGGGGTGGGGGGGGGGGNTCGCGATCCTCATGTAAACAGTTGATTGAGTTTTTCAAAGAAATAAGTTAAACGTTACCTCGCCCAGGATAACTCGGGGGAGGATTGTCCGAGACCATATAAATGGGGCCTAAGGGTTTTGTTTGCAAAATCCCCCTGAAGAGATGAAATTAACGGGAAAAAACTGCTCTAATCTGATCGATTGAGGCCCGTTCCAAACGCCGCTCACGTTCCATTTATGCGCCGAACCTAACTGATGATTTAAGTACGGCAGAAGGGCGGCGTTTGAATCAGTTTGGTTCGGCAGGTTAGGCTTGGGGCGGCAAACAACATTAAATTCAGCAGGGTCTGTCGCACTATGCAACGTTGGAGCTGCAGCTGATTCACACGGCGTTCTGATCTCCTCATGTGTCGAACCTAATGCATAAATTACTGTTATGTATTTTTCATATAACGGGACTCGTGATTGTCTCAAAATTGAGTGGCGTGACCAGTCATGCATGAAGCTCGAAGTCGTCGCTAAAAATAAAGACAACAAAATGTGCCTTCCATTCATGAGAAACGGGACTGTGTAAGCGAGTTTCTTTAGCGCAAATTCATTTTTTTCTTTTTCTTCGTGATAATAGCCCAGCTTATGAAATTTCCCTTTCACAAGTCGAATTAACCGGGAGAAAACCTGTCTAAATACAACCACTGAACCTTGAGTTTGAATTTGCTTGATCACAGCTTTTCTACTTGGACAGCTGGCTCTTGAATTCAGAACGCATATTTTCTCGTCGAAAATTGTTACCAACGGCTTCCCGAATTAAGTTCGACCCAAGTACGCCGTCTGAACCAGCCGTCGCTCCAAAGTCGCTTTGAAGTCGAACTTTGTAATCAAGTTTGGTGCGGCAAAATGAGTGGAGCGGGTAACCCGAAAACACTGACCCCCGGTCCGCGGACCCCACTACGGACCGGGTCCGCGGACTACCTATGGACCGGTCCACGGACTGCCCCTAC